CTCCGCCGTGCGGTGCCGTCCCGCCCTTCCCCCGCCGCGTGACCTCCGCGCGCCGCAGCCATTATCCGCCGCGCCGCCCCCGCGCGCCCCAGGCCCTGAGGCGGCGGCGCCAACCGCCCCGGGGAGGAGGGGCCGGGTCGCACCGCACCGCAGCCGCCGCTTCCTGCGGGAGTCGGGTCCAGCCGGCGGCGCTCTGCCCCGAGCCTGCACGGCGCCTCGGGAGCTGAGGTAGAGGAGGGGAGGGAGGGCGGCGGCCCGGGGCTGCTCCGGGATCGTTAGGCCGCCCTAAGCCGGCCTTTCTCGGTGGGCCCGCACACCTACGGCCGGTTCCGCGGCCCTCTACGCCCTTCGTGGGGGAGATGAGCCCGAGGGGTCGCCGAGCAGCGTTGGTCTCTGGTTGGGCGACTGCCGTGCTGCCTTCGCGGGGAGTAAAGGGTGCTGGAGTGAGGAGATGCTGCCCTGCGTGCGGTTGGCATTGGGCCTGCGGCAGGAACTTCCTCTCAGGCCTGAAAGCTGTTCAGGCCCCCGTGTCTTAATGCCTTAATGCTGTGCTGCTGCTGCTCCCTTGCTGGGCCTTTGCCGCCCTGCTTAGAAATCTCCCTCCGACTCCTCGATGCTAGTGTTTGTGCCCCTCCCTGAACGAGGCCGTTACATCCCCAGCCCTATCGCACCATGGTGTACCGCTGCCCCAGGCTCTTGTCGTTTATTTTTTGTTTGCTTCGGAACCTTTAGTTTTCATAAAGAAATCAGCTTTTTGCTTTGCATGTGGTGGTGATACTGTAACACCTCGCTACCACTTGTCACTCCTTTATCATGAAGATCAAAGTTTTGCTCTAACAGTTAAATTTTCCTACAGGAGGACCCAGGGGCATGCAAAACAAAGGAGTGCTCCACACTTCAAACAGTCACTTATGGAGCTGTTTGAGATTGAGTAATGGTTGGCTTGCTGTAGGTATATAAAAAACATATCTCAGAAAAATCGTTCTCAATTTGGAAAGGGTTGATTTAGAGCACGGGGTCCCAGGAAAATACTGTCCAGCTGTTTTCCTTCTTGTGCTTCCTTTTTGTTGCATTAAACAAAGAGGGGATAAGTAAGAAGGGACAAAGATTCTGGCATAGAATGTACTTCGAACATGTAGCTTCTAGTGGTGAGAGGGGAAGAGTTTCTTCCTCCTACTTACCTTTTTGGTGTTGAGTGACAGCGTTGCTGAGTGGCTGGAAGAGTTTTGAAGTGTTACATGTATCAGTACTTAAAGGTGGCTGGCTCCCTCCTGAGCTGACTGTGGCTGGAGTAAAGCTTCTGAGAGGCTGGCTCCAACAGTCCACAGGTGAAGGCTGTGCCTGCCTTCTTTGGGGACGTGGCAAGGCATGCATACAGTGGGGAAGATCCTGTTGCAGTGGGGGCTGCAGAAAACTTGAAGCAGTTTGGGTCAACAGTAGGGAGCTGTTGTTTGCAGATGGGTTACGCTTACTGAGGTGGATTTGACTTAGGCTGGTTGTGAAAGAGCACTTGTGCTTTATGAGCTTGCAGAATGCCGGAGAGCATTTGGGGTTTGTGTAGTGGAAGTAGGTAAGGGAAACCACTGAAGGATGTGAGACTGTTCAATCTGTTGGGAGAGTTTTTCCCAAATGTATTCGGAAGAGGTGCCTTGTTTTCTCGGCCATTGTGCTAGCATTGGCTCTCACCCAGCCTTGTGGTAAGCTGGATCTAGAAGGTGATGTGGCTCTAAAGTCAGCTTTGTCTTTTTCTCCTGATGTTTTCTGTTCTGAATCAGTTCAGCTCACTGCGTACCTCTGCATATCAGTCTTTGGAGTGAGGAGGGGGAGAATGGCCCTTTGTGTCAGCAGACTGTTGTAAAGAGATTGTAGAAACCACTCTTGAAGGAGGGAGCATGAAAACATCTGATTAAGCAAACAAACAAAATAAATAAATAAAAAAATAAGCCAAACAAAATAGCAGCAGTTCTCTTGTTTTGTTTTTGTTTTGACAAAATTCACAGAAATAGTCATTTTGATTTTGGTGTTTTTAGTTAGAAGAGAAATGTGGTTATGTTTGCCTTTAGTTTTACATAACAGAACAGCTATCAATCATACGATTATTCTACAGAGCTGCTCTTGCTTCTATTTGGAGATTAGTTTTTAAATAATTTTTTGTATACTCTTGTAGTTTTATACTAAAAATGGATAAATTAGGAATTATATTCTTACACAAATGTTCTATTTATTTGACTGTTTCAGTTGAATTTTCATGCTGTAATTTTTTTAATGCGAGTTTGTTCAGTTTTTGTAATCATGCAAGCATTATGAAGATGATAGGGAAGGTAGGAAGTGGTTTTTGATAGAAATGGTAGGGAAAAAAAAATGAAGTAGGAACAAAATGTGTTCCTCAGCTTTTATTTGTACAGCCTGAAGTAGTTTGTTTAAATTTATTATGATATTTCAGTAGTATTTGTAGAATTCTGGGCAGTGATTATCCAGGAGGTACAGGTTTACAGTTGCTAATGAATTGTGTTCTATTCTTATTTGTGATGTGCTGCTGGTAAACTTGGGACATTTAAAACAAGAGGAAGTAGATTGGATAAGAATGTGTGGTTATTTTAAGGCAGATACACAAGCACTGAATGGTACCTTACATTGCTGTCCTAATAAAGAGAAGTCGGTCTTAACATATGTATAATGAAAGACTATTAGAAATTCTGTAGGATTTCTTGAGGACTGGCTTATCCCCTGATTCTTGTTGTATAATCCTTTTTCTTTTGAAGCTTGGATCTCAGAATGAAAATGCATTTTGACAACAGCTTGTGAATTTCCTTAACAAGAGTTTTTTAATTAAATCTTATTGATAGCTTTCAAGTAATGCATAAACAAGAGTAATAACAGCTATTTAATAAGTATAAGATAGCTAAAATAATACTGAGCTGAGAAAGAGAGCAGTGTTTTGCTAGTATAAATTTGGATAACTAATCTAATATACCTATTTAAGCTCCCATATGGTGTAGAATTTCTGAATTAGTGTGTTTAGCAGATATGTAGTGTCTGCAGTATCTGTCAGAAAGCTTTAACATCAGTGTAGTGAGAAAGGCTCATAAATATATTTAAAAGGAATCGGAAACAGGTTTTTATCCTTAACTATTTGGTGTGTTTGAAAGAAAAATAGTGACATCTACTTCCTCATCATAGTGTTGCTGATTCTAGGGCATATTTTGTTTTTGCTTGGTGGCTGAGGCTGATTTAAGGCACCCGTATATACCTGCTGTTACATTAAGAAACTTATTGACTGTTTGATCATTAATGTGACTCAGTATCCGTTTCTTGAAAGATATGCAGTTGGCTGTGTCAAGGTTTGGTAGTATGTTTTCTTTAACAGCACTTTGCTTGCAAGTACTGTTTAAAAGCTTAAGATCTGAGTTTGTTGCTGCCTTTCGAAGCTAGTTTCAGGGAAGCCTTAGGATTGCACTGCTGCCAAAGGAAGCAATTCTGAGTGGTGGCTTGCAGCTTACCCTTCATGGCTCGGATGTGGGGTTGTGTCGTGAGCCATACTGAAAAATCACTTGTATTGTAACTAATCACATGATCCATATGTTTTCTGGTCCGGTTCACACTGTGGCTGCTGAAATACTTGTGCTGGCAAAGGGAGAAAACCATCGGGAATGTGAGTTACTAGACAACTGGAGGGATGGGACTGTTTCTTTACACGAGTAGTGCCAGCTTGTTCTGACTTAATATTGTAGAGGTACAGAAGCTTCCTTTGTAATAGCCAGCTTTCTTCTGACACCGTGGTGAAATGCTTGAGAGTTTAGCATTGATTTTTCCCACATTTAGTGCAGAAAGCAAGGGGAAAAGAAGCTCGAGTTGCCAGAACCATGCAGATAACAGCACTGGTGTTTTAGATACAGACTGTGTTCCTTGCAATTGTGGTTTCTTCTTTAAATGCTTAGCAGTAGGCATCTCGCATCACATTCTTCATGCACAACTTTGCAACCTCTAGGTCTCTTCTGAGACTGGTCAAAAAATAAGCTTAATGCAGCCGAGTAAGAGAGGCAGCTTTTGATTTGTGGATTAATGTTACTGCTTAGAAATGTGATGTGTATAGCACCTTTTTTTATTGTATTGCCTGACATGATGTTGTGACTTCAGACTATGACAGTAGGGACAAGAAAGTCCCCAGGAAAAGGCTGCTGGTGATGTAACTCTGTATGTACCACTGTTTTTCAAATTCTCTGTAATAGCGATCAAATACTTTAATTCTCGTACACTGTAAGAATATATACATAGGCAAACCTTTATTTAAAAAAAAAAAGTCTAAACAGTCTTTCCATTTCTGCTTCCATGTATGAAAGTTCTTTGGAAAAAGATTTTTTGCATGTCAAGCATTTGCCTGTAACAGTTAAATGGAAGCAAAACTGAAAGTAGTTGAGATTTTCTGTTCAGTATTTAAGGTTTTCTATTCAACGTTCTTTTGTTTTCAAATTGTTGGCAAAAAGAGTAGCCATGGTATATCCCGTGGGTGATGTGAAAACTTGTCTAAGTTAGGATTCTGATTTCAGTTAGCAGCAGCGAATTGTTTTTAAAACTTGGATGTAGAGATAACATCAAAATATAGTAAATATTGATTTTAAAATCTAGCACTGAACTTCAACCACTTAGCTGAAGTTTGTATTAATTTTTCTGTGTAAGAATGCTTTAATTAACCTTTGCTAGCTAATGCCATCTCACCTTTTGTCTAGACAAGATCTGAAATGGTCCGATACACTACTGTGCTCCTTCAGAGACTCATGCTTGCTGATGATGAGAAGTAAAAACTTTAACTTGTTAAAGCATATATTTTGTAAAAATTGGAAATATCTTGGTCACTACTAGTGAATGGTAAGTGGAATTTTGATAGCAGGGTTTATCAAAACAAGTGCTACTTTTTTTTTTGTTCAAGTGTTTTCAATTTTTCCTTCATCTACAAGTGTGATTTAGGAACAATTAACGTCTTTGGCTTTAACAAACATGTTGCTGAAATGCAGAATTTCTAGGAGATCCAGCCTGTCTGTATTGAACTGGAGCAAAATTCTGAATCACTTTCATGGCATTTCAGAATTTTCTTAATGTCAAGTTAGATTACAAGTGTGTATTTGTGAATCTATATTTGTATATTCTTAAGGCTTTGAAGTAATTAAGGTTGAGGCAAGTGAAAAACTCTTACTTTTGAGAGTGGGTTCATTATTTCAGTCATATTTTATTTCTGCTTACCTGCAAAAACTTCATTTTCTTTTTTTTGAGAAAAAAATGCTGGTTATTTAAAGTCATGCAAACGTTTCCTATTTAAATAGGAAACCATAACAGAGTAGTTCTTGTATAAATGCTGCAGAGAAATCTAAAAATAAAGCTGCTGTTTTACTAAGCCCATATCCCATATCTTTTTTGAAAAAAAGATCATTCCAGTTAAGTACAAAGCTGTGTATTAGAGTTCAAACTCTTACATGAATTTGCTGCCTCATCCTCTTGACTGCATGCTGTCTTCTTTTTTAATCTAGATCTGGCATTTGTTTGGGTCTTTATTAAGTCAGTTAGTTAACTAACCATACAAATGTGAACACTGAGTGTCTGTCAGAAACCTTCTCATTGAAGGACCTGAAGGGTTTAAGGGCTGAAGGTTATGCAGCCCTGGAAGCAGGACTAAAGGACTGATAATGTGTGGAAGGGAAGCAACATTTGCTCTTGGCAGCGGCTAACACATAAGCTACTCCAAATCTCAATGTGTGGTTTCACTAGGCTAGGACTAAATTTGCTGTTTCTTATGTTGCCTTTTCGTGATAAACAGTCTAATGTTTGAACCCATTTAAGCAGGAGTTAATGATCCTTTCATGAAAATACTTGTTTCTCATGGTCATTTTTTTTCTATTCTGTAGGGATTTGTGTTGCTGAAAGCATAAACAGAGAATTTTAAAATAACTGATCGACACAGACCTGTGGCTTGAGGTAAGGTGAATTTAATTCTATTTTTAAGTGCTCTGATTGAACCCAACCATTTAAAATCAATGTTGATTTTTTTTTTTCTTAAAATTTATGCTGGTGGTAAACTGAATTGTGTAAATCTTTCTGAGATTAATGTATGTTCTGTAATGGTCAACTATTGTATCATATGTAAATGTCAGCTAGTGTACCGTATACTCACTTGTTATGCATAAGAATACAGGGAAAATCCAATATTCCTTTTCCTTTAAAACTGAAATTAGGTTGTGTAGACTAATTATGTATCTGAAGTTTGGTCTGAAATTTCCTTTTAATAGAAAAACACTTTTTCTGTTGCTCTAGGAAAATTGATATACTTCACGTGTTGTTTAAAAACTTGTCTATGAACTAGATAACGTAAGAGATTGTGTTCAATTAAATGCACAGAAGATGGATTACAAAGAATTGAAACCAATCTTCTGAGTATGTTATGTTCCATTATTTTTCTTTAAATGGAAGAAGCCTTTTACAGACAGCTTATAATGTATTCTCTCAGTTAAATAGTTTTAGTTAATTGGAAAGCTAGTTTAGGCTAAAACTGTATTATATATTATTTAATAAATATATATAATATATATAATGCAATATATATTTTCCCTAGGTTAGTTTCAGATGAGATTAGTCTCTTTGGGGCCACACAGACTCAGTGCAACTGTGATGGGGGAAAGTTAAATGGGGCAAGAGTGACCAGTGATAGGGAAAGGTTGGTCTGTTTTTTCTTTTGGATTTGCTTACATGTGTATAAAATCTCTGTGATTATGTTAACTTTGAACTATAATTCAATATATTCGTCTTCAGTATTTCTTCTCAGATAATATATCAACTATATGCATAAAGTTCAGTGTAACAAAAAGTGCTTGTTGTGTTGAGCTTGTATTTTCATTATGAAAATTTGGAGATTTTATGCTTGTTGCGATACAAAAGCTAAAAGTTGATTCTTTTTTTCCTCCATTTGTTTTAGTGATTTTTTTTGTAGATAATTGTAGATAGCATATTAAGGGCTGAAAATGTGAATAGTTGATTGTCAACAGTTTATATTCAGTTGTTCTCTTGTGACCATTATTTTTTAAGCTGGGCCATCTCAAAAGAAAATGTTAATGAGGCAAAATTGTTATTTTTAAAAAGCATTGTATAAACTCTCCAATTTCATTTAATATTTTAGACTTCCACTTTTGTGAAGTCATAGATTACAGAATCACAGAATATCCTGAGTTGGAAGAGACCCTTAAGGATCACTGAGTCCAACTCCTGGCTCCACACAGGACCACCCAAAAATTAGACCATGTGTCTGTGTGTGTTGTGTAGACGCTTCTTGAACTGTGGCAAGCTCAGTACCATTACCACTTCTCTGGGGAGGCTGTTCCAGTGTCTGACCACCCTTACCATGAAGAACCTTTTCCTCATATTCAACTCAAACCTCCCTTGTTGCAGCTTCATGCTGTTCCTTTGGGTTCTGTTCCTGGTCACCAGAGAGAGATCAGTATGTATTCCTGTGCTTATCCTTTTGAGGAAGCCATAGGCTGTCATGAGAGCTCCCCTCTTGTCTCCTTTACTCTGGGCTGAGCAAACTAAGGGGATTCAGCTACTCCTCACATATCTTTCCATCTGGACCCTTCGCCATCTTTGTCTCCAGATGCTCTCTAATAGTTTCATATCCTTTTTGTACCGTGGAGCCCAAAACTGCACACAGTACTCAAGGTGAGACTACACCAGTGCAGTGTAGAGTAGCTAGAAATGTGATGTTTGATGGACCCCGGGATATGTTTGGCCTTCCTGGCTGCCTGGGCACATGTTCAACTTGCTGTTGACTAAGACCCTCAGATTTTTTTCAGCGGGGCTGCTCTCCAGTGTCTCATCCCCCATTCTGTTTGTGTGGCTAGAATTACCCCTTCTCCATGCAGAAATTGGCGCTTGCTCTTGTTAAAGTTCATGTGGTTGGCGATTGTCTAGCTCTCTCTGACTTGTCTAGATTTCTTGGCAAGGCCTCTCCACCCTGAGTGGAATCAGTAACTCCTCCCAGTTTCGTATTGTCATTAAGTTTGCTCAAAACACCTAGCCCTACACCAAGTTACTTAAGAGAGCTGGCCCTAAAATGGAGGCATGGAGAACCGCACTAGTGACTGGTTGCCAGCCTGCTGTAGCCCCATTTAGTATAACCCTTTGGGCCTGACCCATTGGTTGACTGCTTGCTATTGCACCATGTTTTGGTCTAGCTGTGTGCTGGGTATTTTGTACAGAAGGATACTGTGTGAAACAAAATAGAATTGTCTCAGAATAGAAATGAACAAATGCTGAGTCAAATTCAAGTATAGGCTTGAATTGTTATGTTGCTTTGGGTAAAAAAAAATAAAAATCTTTCTATACAGTGATTCCAGCCTAAGTAGTAGAAATTTCAAAGGCTTCATTTGAAGGAGGAGGGCTGGGAGTACTTGGTAGTTCTGACCAATATTTTATGGTCATAACTATAAACTATATAAAATGAATGGAATATTTAAATTTAATTATGGCTTAGTTTTAGTTTAGATTTAGATCACAAATGTATAATGGTCTAGACTTGCATTATTTCTTGTCCTAATTTGTAGAAATGTTTTTTTCCATTGCCTTCTTATCTCCTTTTATACAGGATCAGTTTGCAATTAAACCTGAGAAACCTGTTATCTTTTCAGACAAACAGCTTGCACTGTAGTTCTGTTAAGTCTTATATTGTTTAAAATGTTGTATATTGAGATTTAAATTGCTAATAAATGTGTTTTCTTCAAAATTCTTCTGTTTAGGTAGTGCTATACCTCTTCCAAATATTCTTGTTTTAGAGTGTTAAAATCTTATATTATTTACATGGTCTCTAAGTAGTCCCATCCCTCTCTTTCTCCTCCCTTCAACTGTTTTTCCTTCTCAGAAGAAGTTTATCTACTGGGAAAATGGGTCGATCTAACTCTAGATCACATTCTTCAAGATCGAAGTCCAGATCTCAGTCCAGCTCTAGGTCAAGATCCAGGTCACACTCTAGAAAAAAGAGATACAGGTATATTCATGTAATACTGCATGAAAAATTGTTTTTTGTGTATTGAGTTTTGTCTGGAAGTTATTTTTCACTTGCATGAGACTGGGATCTTAATTTTAGATAATAAAATGCTTTGAATAAAACTTCTGTTTAAAATTTGACTATTCTGCTCTTTTCCTGTATCTTTCCTGTACCTTGGTGTAGTTTCAGAATGCTAATGGTTCTTCTTGATTTGTTCTTGGTTTGATTCTTCTACCCCCTTTCACATGACATTTTCATTGTCCTGTCTCTTTCCTTGATAGTTTTTGCTGCCTCTCTCATGTAGCTTTTCAGGTCTGGAGTAACTTAAGGCTTCAGCAGATAAACTTTCCCTTGTCTTCTCAGTTGCCTCCAGTCTTTTCCTTCACTTTCTTACCATTGGACATAGCCACTTCTATAATAAGAGATGGCAGAATTCAATGTTTGCTGTCTTATCAGCTGCATGCTGTCTACCGGCTGGTATATTCAGTTAAATTGGAGGTGATCTAATGTCATGTTCCAGGCTATGAACAGTGGTGGATGGAGAACTGAGTGCCATACTCCAAAGTGGTGGTGATATCTTAAAACAAACAAACAAAAACAACAAAGCAAGCCATTGAGGCTGGTAATGTCTTACTCATGTGATGCTGAAGTCTAAGTTTCACAATTCTTCAGAAGATCAATGTTTATTAAAATTCCTTATGAGATAGAGATCATATACTGCAAACTACTTGAAGACTGTTATTCTGCCTTTACCGTTCTGACTGTATTAGAGAGATCTAGCATTTAGTCTTGAGGCACTTCTTTTTCTCTCTCCAGTTGTCAAATGTTAATGTTTGTTTTTTAATTCTAGTTCTAGGTCTCGTTCAAGGACGTACTCACGATCTCGCAGCAGGGATCGTGTTTATTCTAGAGATTATCGCAGAGATTACAGAAATAATAGAGGAATGAGACGTCCCTATGGTTACAGAGGAAGAGGTAGAGGGTATTACCAAGGAGGAGGTGGTAGATACCATCGTGGAGGTTATAGGCCTGTCTGGAACCGAAGACACTCCCGAAGCCCTAGGCGTGGCCGTTCACGTTCCAGAAGTCCAAAGCGAAGGTCTGTGTCTTCACAGAGGTCCCGGAGCAGATCTCGTGGATCTTACAGATCTTCCAGGTCCCCAAGGTCCTCTTCATCTCGTTCTTCATCCCCATACAGCAAATCACCTGTCTCTTCCAAAAGACGTGGGTCTATGGAAAAGCAGGCAAAGAAAACTGAAGGGGCTCCTTTGCAAGATAGCCCTTTGAAAAATAAATCACAAGATGAACAGAAAGATACGTTTGAACATGACCCATCAGAATCTCTTGACGATTTTAATAAATCATCAGCAGCTTCTGGCGATATTTGGCCTGGCCTTTCAGCGTATGATAACAGTCCAAGGTCACCCCACAGTCCTTCTATTGCCACCCCGCCTAGTCAGAGTTCATCTTGCTCTGATGCCCCTTTGCTTAGTACAGCCCACTCAGCAAAGGACACACCTCAACATTCCCATTCCATTCAGCATAGTCCTGAGAGGTCTGGCTCTGGTTCCGTTGGAAATGGTTCTAGCCGTTATAGTCCTTCTCAGAATAGCCCATTGCATCACATCCCTTCGAGGAGAAGCCCTGCAAAGACAATCCCATCACAGAGTGCTCCCCGTGAGGAGCCTCGAACACGTTCGTTTTATCCTGAGACTGGGGAACAGGAAACTGTAAAAGGTGGAAAGTTTCTGAAAAGGTAGGAATTAAACTGTAAAATTAATGTTGCAACTTAAAAAACTGTAACAGTGTTAGTATTATTTTTTTTACAAGATCATCGCTGTGCCTTGGAAAAGGGAATATGAAATACTGATGAATATTTTTAAGAATTTTAGTCTGGTTAGAATTGAGCTTTCTCCTCCTTTAGGATGCTTCAAGTTCTTGTTGGGTGATTAGTGGGGGCAGGGACCAGTATCCCTGTAGGACTCCTTTTGTTTTTTGTTTGTGATACATTTTCCTGTATTCCGTTTACTGTTCAGAAAAATATTAATTAACGTTTTAATGAATGATGGATCAGACTTGTTTGTTTGACACTGACTTCTGTTCAAGCACTTTAATGTTTTAATGCTTTACGTAATTTGAAATGCAAAGTCTGAAAAAGGAGATGTATTATGATTTTTGTTAACGTAAACGGCATTCATTGCTAGTTGTATGGTGCTATGTGACAACTTTTTCTTGACTTGTGTTACTTAAGAAGTGGGGTAGGTCTAAATATTCTTGGAGCATAATTCTACTGATGTGAGGAACAATGGAATACATGCTTTTCCAAATTTGTTATCAAAGTATTTGATATACCTGATACAGTAGCAGCTGAAGAAGGAAGTTATCTTACCTTATTGGCATTAGACTGTTTTCTTTCTAATTTACTTTGCATTTTGGTGGGTTTGTTAGAAAAATGATTTATAGGCAAATACAGATATGGTCATATGACTTCTAAATGAATTTGCCCTGTCAATGGTTTTTAGTATGTGAAAATATACTGATAGAAAATGAAGAAAAAAAAAAAAAGTCAGACTTGCTTGAGATTAGACTTACTGCTTCTGGTGGATGTGTTTTGGACCTATGTGAAGATAGTGTACAGACAAAACTGTGAATGTAGTTAGGGACATACAGTTAATTCAGATTTGAATTATCAAAGTTTAATATTATTTTGATAGAGAAAAAGGGCTGGTGTAAGTGTATGTGAAGCTGTGTACCAATTTAGAATGAACAAACTAATCACTAGCTCTTTTTACAAACTCTAGTGGAGAATTTCTCTGTGTTCTACGGAAAGGCATTATTTTCTTCAGGTGTTTCCACTACTGCATAGATGACAGTTAGTACAGCATGAACAGCGTGTGAAATTTACTTGCTAAAGTTGAATGTCTCAGTGGAGTATGTTTTTTCTTTTTGGTGTGGGATTGACGCAAAAGAGGAATGCAAGTGAACTGGAATGAATGCAATCCAGAGTTACCAGTCTCTTCTTTGCTATCCACAGGTACACAGATGAAGAGTCTAGAGTATACCTGCTTGATAGGGGTAATACCAGGGAGAAGGAGGCCCAGAAGGAGAGAGGATCAGAAAAAGGGAGGACAGAGGGAGAAAGGGAATGGGAGGATCAGGAAACTTTAGACTTTTTCGTTGATAAAGAGACTGGGAAAGAGAAGTTTAATGACTCTGAAGGGGAGGACACAGAGGAGACAGAGGATTACAGACAGTTCAGAAAGTCTGTCCTGGCAGATCAGGGTAAAAATTTTCCTACTGCATCTCACCGGAATGCTGAGGAGGAAGGAACCAAATACAAATCTAAAATAACAATGAAGGGCAATAGAGAGAGCGATGGATTTAGAGATGAGAAAAGTTACAAGCCTAAAGAGACTGGCTATATAGCGGAAAGGCCTAGTACAGCAAAAGATAAGCACAAGGACGAAGACAAGAGTTCTGAGAGACTAACGATGAAGAAAGAAACTCAGTCACCTGAGCAGGTAAAGTCTGAAAAGCTCAAAGAACTCTTTGATTACAGTCCCCCTCTACACAAGAATCTGGATGCGAGAGAAAAGTCCACCTTCAGAGAGGAGAGCCCACTTAGGATCAAAATGATAGCCAGTGACTCGCATCGTCCTGAAGTTAAACTCAAAATGGCACCAGTACCTCTTGACGATTCCAATAGGTAAATTATTCCACTTGACAAAGTGGTTCTCCACCTGCTTGCACTGTCACTCATCTTTATTTAAACTAGTGGTTTCTTTTTGTGTGTCTTTTCTGTTGTTGATGCATTTTTAGACCTGCTTCCTTGACTAAAGACAGGCTACTTGCTAGCACACTTGTCCATTCCGTCAAGAAGGAGCAAGAGTTCAGATCCATCTTTGACCACATTAAGTTGCCACAGGCCAGCAAAAGCACGTCAGAGTCATTTATTCAGCATATAGTGTCCTTGGTTCATCATGTCAAAGGTATGTGTTCAATTTACTCATTCAGTAATAGCATTTAAGACTGTTAGCTGTCTGTAGTAGAGGAAGATTTCAGCCTTCTTAATGTTGATTTAGTTGAACTTTTCCTTTGAGGTATACGTATAATAACTAGAGAAATAATAGCCACTGAAACAAGTATCAAAAAAGCAAGCAGTCTAGAGCATAATAGTCATACTGTGTTTCTTGTTAAATTTTTAACCCAGAGTAGCACATACTTTGCTAAATTTTTTCAGTAAAGCTTAAGCATACTAAATTGCTTAATCTTTTTACTTCAATTCTATTTGAATGTCATTTCACCACTTCATATAGTATTGCATCTCCTTTTGGAGCAGTTTAGAACTCATATCCAGATGTTTACTGGAAAGCTGGTTTTGGTCTCAAACTAATACAGTGTAAGAAGTGGTTCTCTAAATGATCGTAAAGTACACTACTTTGTTTTATTCTTACTTAACAGTATTGTTGGATGTGAGAATCTAACTTCTAGAGGCTTAGCGTGGGTTAAGTAAATCTCCATTAAATCGTTTATATGCTAATTATTTTCCTGTTTAACAGTAGTGCCGGTTGCTTACTATAATAAAATTAAACTGCTTCCTTGTGGGGGAAAAAAGAAAACAAACTGACAAAGTGGGTGTATTTTATTCAAGTCACATACTGACAAAGTTTTCTCATTCAAGAATAGATAATTCCTTAAAATCCAGTGAGGATATCTAGAGTGTTTTTAAATTCTTTTTTTTTTTTTTTTTCTGTAGCATTTACTTAAATTTTACCAGGCTGTTGTCTTATTCTTGTATTTAATATACTATGAAAGAATTTGCTGGTGAACGTTACTTACCATATCATCATATAAAAGGGGAATGTCAAAATGCTAAATGAGGTGAGAAGTTTGGGTGTGTCTATCTGTGTGCATTGTTTTAAATATACTTTAGCTTTTAAAATAGGGAAGATTTTGGTAAAGGCAAGAGGTATGTTTTTTCAAGTCTTATTTTGTTTTTGAAGTAACTCTAGGCAGCTAAGGCCAAATGACTGTGTGTTTTGAATTGCTTAGAAAAAAAAGCAATAGTGGTGGTAGGTTATGTTAACATAGCAGACTCAAAATACTATTGGGACACCTGCTTAGAGTGTAACTATCATTGCTAGAAAATCATTCTTATTGATAAGAGATCCAGATCTATATCCAATGAGAGTTTGGCTTAAATGGCACGTGTAAACTGAAGGTGAAATATTATTGAAACTCTCTTATGTATTGATCACAAAATTAAGACTTTTTCTGTAGACTGTTAAACAGATAACTGGTAAATGTGACAGTTTAACAGAGTATCTGGTCAAGTTTTTAGTATATGTAAAGTTATGACTGTTTTTTGAAAGGAGAACTTCTCTATGCATTTCAAACTTACTGTGATCAGATTTAGTAACTATTTTGACGATTTGAAGTTATGTTCATTATTGGTGTGATGCGACCAGTCTGAACAGCTCTTGATTAATGTAGAGCTGAAAATGCCCAGTGATGTTTTCTTTTTCATTATAAATAGGTCCTGGAATGTGTTTTGAAATGGCAAAATCCATGTTACAAAAGTAAAATAGCTGTTGAAAGATACAGATGCCAAACAGGCAAAGTTGAACCTTCTGTCTTCCTGGCAAAAATGGCATAAAAACAGAGTTGCTAGCTCAAATTCCTGTGTTTGATGGAATTATGATTGAGGCACTACCCTTGTAGTGGCCGTTTCAAGTTTTAATGGTTGGTTATGAGACAAATACTGGATGCCGGGCGGTAAGTTGATACAGATGTATGTTGACCTGTTAAGCAGATAGCTTGCTTCATATGTAACATTTCATAGCTCATGACTTTATGTATTTCTATATTACATTTAAACACATTTGTTGAGCTGGTTTGAAAACTTGAGTTTTGCTGTTGCTAATTTAATTGTCTCTGAGAGCAAGAGAAAATTTGTCAGAGAAGCTGTCAGGTTTGCCAAGATGCCAGATGCTTAAATGAATATATTTTACATTTGGATGTGTTAATTGTCTTGAATTGCTCGTTAAAACTTCAAATCAAGAAATGGTATTATTTTAAGAAATGACTTGTTATTAGGTCATCCTTATAGTTATTGAAACATACATTACTTAAATGTGTTCACTGAATTAATGCTAACTTAAAGTTGAGATGAGTTGTAAAATGTACTTCTTGCAAATATTCACAACTTGAAGTAATCTTATGTTTTTTTCTTATGGACAAAGTAGAAATCACTTAAATTGTTTATTTCATTAGAGAAGAATGTCACTGAAAATGAACAAGTCTAATCCATGTATGATGCTTGGATTAGATTTAATACAGCCATGGTGTAGTTATAAGTAGATTTGCAGTGATTCTGTGCACTGTATCTTTGTTTGGATTACAGAATGTGTAAGAATAAGAAAAGCCCACTCTAGCTTGTTGTTCTGATACTTTTATTGAAAATATTGTTTTTGCCTGCTACTTGCCTTTCTGTCAGGAGTAAAATACCTGTCAGTTGAATTAAACTAATGAAACAGTGTTTTTCTATTGTAACCAACAGAGCAATACTTCAAGTCAGCTGGAATGACCCTAAATGAGAGGTTCACTGCATATCAAAAAGCAACTGAAGAGCACTGCACTCGGCAAAAGAGCCCAGAAATACATAGGTATATGTTAATTGCTTATGTCTCAAATAATATCTGCTAATATTTCTTGTTCAAGAACTCAGAATATTTATTTCTGTTCTGTATGTAATACGTTGTTGATTTCTGTGCAAATACAAAAAAAGAACACCCAAACCAAGACACCAACAACAAACCCTGGGGAAAAAAAAAAAAACAAAACCATACAAAAACGTTTCTATAGAGGAAAACTCAGATGAATCAACTCTGGCTTCATCTGTGGCTTTATAGCACGTATCTTTTCTATCTCTGCATCTCATTTGGGATATATTTACTTTTTTCACATACAGTGCTCAAATATTGAGAGAGAAATGTCTTGCATGTACAGGGCTTCTTTTTTATCCTCAGCTTCATTCTTTGGTGTCAAATGTTCCATCTGGTATCACTTTAGTTTTTGTATCTATTAATTTATATCAGTTTTTTCTCTTTAAATCAGAGAGCCTGGAAGGTTGTAATTTCTGATTGTGTGCTTCTGGTCACATGATGCAGTGTATACTGTATTTGCGTTGTGTGTGATGTTATATTATCTCAGTTTTCAACTTTGTAAGATCTCTTAACTGAGAAGTAACTTTAACTGTACAACAAGCTGTCAGTGTTGATGGGGTTTTTTTTTTTTTTTGGAAGGTTTGATATCAAACTGGTTATATATACTGATCTTCTGGAGTAATTATCATCTTGAAATCTCTCCTGGAAATGTGAAAAACTAAACAGCCGTTTTAGTGTATTTGTCTTTTAGTATACTTCAAAGAACTAAACCAAGGTTTTTAATTTTTGGCTTGCTTCTGTATTCAGGTGGTGGGACTTCATATGCAAGAGTTTGTTCTGCTGCTAAAGTGCCTTGTTATTCAGACTTCTGTTGATCTATGTAAGGCCATAAACAGTTGCATACATGTATGGCTAGACACTGCTTTTATTTTACATTTAGGAGGATTGACATCTCTCCAAGTGCCCTGAGGAAGCATACCCGTTTAGCAGGTGAAGAGAGGGTCTTTAAAGAAGAAAGTCAAAAAGTAGGTTCTAAATAAATGTTAAGTATTTTATTTCTAAACTTAATGTGACTTTTTTCCCTTTGAATATGAACTTCTAACTTCATGTGAGTTTGTGGATCTCAGTCTTTTAGAACAACTTATGTTATGTGGAATATTTGCATTTCAGAACTTTTTTCTGTGAATCTTGCTAAGAAGCCTAAGAAGTTTGTGTAGCACAACATGAATATATTGATACTATGGCATATAAGATCAAAATGCCTCCTAACTTCCTTTTTTTTGGGTGTTTCTTGACACGTTTTGTGTCCAAAGACGATGAATGAGATGAAGGAGAAAAAAGTGCTGATGTGCACAGTACCATGGCTGAATGTAAAAAGGTACATGTGCTCTGCTATCAATAATTAACTGGAAAAAATGTATACTGAGATATCCTACCAGAAAACATGTTATGGTCTGTCTGTATCAGACAGTAGATGTACTGCTGGCTCAATGGGAACGCTTGTTTAAAGCGTAAAATCTTAGCTGTTCTCAGACTTAGCCTGTAAAAGGCATTCACCTTAAGCTCAGTTTATGTGCTAAAGAGTTGTTGTAAATTCTGTCTTGTCTTTTTGAAAATTGAGGCATGGTTCACCTCCACAGATTCTCTTCTGGATGTTTTCTTTCAAAGTCTCAGTCAGAAACATGTTTTTGGTTACAGGGAGATAAAAAATTAAGATGTGATTCTGCTGATCTTCGGCATGACATTGACCGCCGTAGAAAAGAGCGAAGTAAAGAGCGAGGAGACTCAAAGGGCTCCAGGGAATCCAGTGGGTCAAGAAAGCAGGAGAAAACTTCAAAAGATTACAAGGATTACAAATCTTATAAAGATGACAGGTAAATGTTTGAAATCTCTAGGTTTTTAGCCTCTAATTAACCTTTTGTAATTGTAAGCTTAATTGCTTTCAATTTTCGATGTTTAATGGAACGTTTAAATTTAAACAAATAAAATTATTTGTTTTACAGCAAATATGTATTATCTGTCTTTTACACGGCTTATGGTGGATGAGGACAAAAACTTTGGAATAGCAAGCTAACACTGAAAAAAAAAATGACAAATTAATCTGTCCTATTATCCAGGCTACATCAGGAGGTTGGACTTCAATGCAGTACATTTCTATAAACAATTTGTGTAAGAACTTTGGTTCGTTATGCTTGATTCCGCACTTTTTCAACTCATAACACCCAGAGTATGAGAATCTTATTGATACTTAGATTTAACATGGGTGAGAAGGGGAATCTTTTTTGTGTTTTTCTCTCCTAAAGCCAGTGGTCTATTTTCTAAGGAAAAAAAGATTAGCATATTTCAGTGGATACTGTGTAGCAGTGGTAAGAGTTTCATCAGGTATAACCTTCCTTCGAGTAATGTTGTCTTTTAAGTTGGGTCAAATTAGAGCTTTAGGGAATTACCAAAAGTCTTGCTGTGGGATTTATTATCCTGCTTTGTACTGGGTATGCAGTGAGTTCTTATGCTTTCTGTTTCCCATATACTTTCTGACTCTGGTATCCACATTACCTTCCACTGGCAATTCATACCGGCATCTTCATAGGGCAGCCCATACTGTGTGTTCTCAACAGTATGCAAACTGAATTATGTAAAATTTCTGTAAAGCTTTGCCTTGAGGGTTTTCTTCCCTTTTGGTTTCTGTTTTTTTTTCTTTCTGCCTCAGAGAAAGGCAGATCTTAAAAGTAACAGAACCTCTTAATGGCAACCTAGAAAAACTCTGCAGTTTGCAGACTGCTGTTTTCCAACTCACTAACAGTAGTGTACGTTTAGTCCTTTTAAATGTCTAAGAAGAGGCTGGAAAGTGAAACTATTTCTTGCCTTAGCATCTGAAATACATTACATATATGTGTGGCTTTATAACCAGATGGGGGATAGTTTTTTTTAAATATAAAGAAACCCCTTTTAGTATAGCATGTTACAGTTTATCTAGTGCTTTTAAAACAGCACACAGTGTATCTTTTTATTTTTCAGTAAGCAAAAAAGAGAGCAAGACCGTGCTAGATCTTCTCCATCTTCCTCTCCATCTGCTTCTTCATCCAGTTCTCGAGAAGAAAAGGATTGCAAGAAAGAAAGAGATGAAGAGTTCAAAACTCACCACGAACAGAAAGAATACTCTGGTTTTGCAGGAGTCAGCAGGCCGAGAGGCACCTTTGTAAGTTGTATTTCTCCTGTTCTTCCCCCAAATGATGAAGACTGTAACAATAGTGTAACAGATTAAATGAATTGTTGCAGTACTTAATGTTAGTGTAGACCTTTTTCATAGTTGTGATTCTTGAATTCTTTTACATGATGTACCAATTCTGCAGTGCTTTTCTTTCAGTCTTGTCCAATAGAAGTCTTATTTGGTGTGTAAATATTCAGTAGTACAGTATTAGAGAACCCTAGTGTAAGGATTAGAAAAACGATTTCTTGTTTCTTCCTTGCTGTTTTGTAATTATACTGTATCCTAACAGGATATTAAAATTGACCTTTCTATAAAGATGAAATCTTGTGATCTATTACCTGTTACTCTCTACAGTTTGTTTTCTTTTCTCCATAACTTTCAATTTTACTTTAATCTCCTTTGTGTGTGATGTCTGCAAACTATTTAATGGAGAATGGTGCACAATGAAACACATGTTGGAAAAGAACTATACTGGGGAGAGGAGATGGTATGCTTGCTACTTTCCAGTGTTTCTGTAGCCTGTACTAGCCACAGTAAGCATGCAAGCATATTAATCTAGCTCTGGAATGTGTTTTAGCATTGAGATTTGGAAAATACCATGTTGACCTTCATGGTCTTCATAACATTTTTAAAGGTAAAAATTGCAAGTTAGCGTAACTTACTGGGAAATGTAGCAGCGTTAGAAAAGATTAAGTAATAGAAAAGGCATTGGAAATAAAAACATCCATGCAGAAATTAAAAATGCCTTAAAGGTCTGTTTGTGGGTGGACAAAAGATAATGGGTAGGAGTAATGACATGCTTTTCCCAGTAGTTCCTTTGTGTAGCCTGTATTTAAGACAAAATAAGGTAAAGAGGCATTGTTTGGTATAAACATATCTTGTTCGTAGTAGTGCAAAATAAGTTTTGAACTGCAGAGAAGAGAGTTTCTAAAATGCATGTGAGATGTGCAGCACTTAAGGTTTGGATCTTCAGTCTTGAGAGTTGTTGCTACTTTAAAAAAAAAAAAAAAAAAGAAAAATAATCCAAGTGCCAAATTTCTAATGCTAAAAATTCAATTCTCCCTCTTTCTTGTTCTTATATATAATTAACAAAGGGACAGGTATGTGGTGTAAATATATCAACACTTTGATGGTGCAGATATTCTATATGACACTACCGCCCAGTTCCTAGGTGCATAAGCTAGCTTCACGTGGTTAAAAATAGAGCTTAAAACCCTCTCCTCTCACGAAGAGAATACTTTTTTTTAATCTCATAATCAGTGCCAGCTTTACTGCTTTATAAAATCAGATTATATGTGTTTTAAAGAGAGGTAGTACTTCATGTGAAATTTCAGTAGCCATGAAGTGGAAATGTTAGTTACTAATAAGACTGATGGTGACTGCCAGTTATGACTGCATTAATAACTGATGTTCTGTAATGACATGCACGATCACACAAATGCTTATCAACCAAACAGTAACTGAAGAGAAGTATTTAAATAGGCCAACCTGTTGATTCTAATATTCTACTTCAGGGTACAGAGTGGGTAGTATTGTAAGATACTACTAGATGACCAATGTAGAAATGTCTTTGTGATTTAGGCTAATAGTGTCTGAATTCAAGTAAGTACTTCTTTGGTTTTGGAGTAAAGAAAATGTTTTTGTTGTAAATACTCCCTAAAATAGGAAGCTGTAATACCATGGGGAGATTGGCTGACTGAGTACAGGAAGTCCTTCTGTAAGCTGAACTGTCAGTTTGCTGTTAAGTTAGTGTTGACTTTTCACTAATGCTTATTGATAGGCTGAAATGCTGAATTCCGTGCTTGTTATTTGTAGCATAAAACCATAAATGCTCTGAATAATTTTGAAGGAGAAAAACAGAAATAAGGATAAGTGGAATGTTTTTAGTTTCTGAAGTATATTGAAAGGTTTTGTAGCCTTTTACTTTTTCAGACTGATTCAAAGCACTTCTAAAGCTATCCAGCATAAATTCTGCATTAGATGTTGGAGCTTACTGGAATTAGGTGTGTGTAGAACTCTTTTTTTTTCTTCAAGTTAATTACATCTATCTGTTTATGGGGCATACTTAGTTTTAGTAAATGAAATTAATTTCCAGTCCTAGTTCTGTTAGCTCTGAAGACTCAGACTTGTTTTTAATTAGGTTGTATATAGAAAACATGTTCTGTAGTAAGGTTTTAATAATCTTCCTAACCTCACCATTCTTCTCTTAAGTGGGGAATGTGTGGATAAATTCCTACTTAAGTCTTTAGCTTGCAGAAAGTATTGCATGCTGAGGAAACTGGATATATTACTACTCGGTGTACTCTGTGTTAAATATTTTCTATGCTGCAGTGAAACTTTTTAATCTTATCTTAAAATTCTGTTAATTTATGATAAAGAACACTAAAGATACTTCAAGATTGTTGCTCTACACAATAGGTAGTTGTTTTTCGGGATAAGGAGTGTTTACTCATTTGAAATGTAATCTGTTTTAAAATGCGTAACTGAATCTCAATTGAGAATGAGTGGCACAAAGCAGACAGTTACTTGCAGAATGCATTATTTGTATGTATTCTAAAATCATTTTCTCATGACAGATATGATTGTCTCCCTAAGTGACTTCACTCCCCTCCCCCCCCCAAAAGTTTTGTTTCCTCCCCCTTCAGTCTAGGTTTTTCTGTTTGTTTCTGTCTGCAGACAGCTTCAGAAGCTTATTTCAACCTTTGTTGCAGCAGTCTGACTTACCAGCAGTCAAAGGAAATTTCATTTTGGTGAATGTAGGTTAATTTATACCAAGAACACAGGTGTACTTATTTTGATTCTTACATTTAGTAGAATCATTATTTTGAAGTGAATGCTTGAATATATTACTTAAGGTAATATGTGACTTCTTAAAAAAATAGTTTTAAATTTTTAACTAAGAACAGAATGAGCATTTTCAGTACAGAAAACTTGAGCTTTTTGTTGTGGTTTTGTGTAAATGGCTTAAATAAAATAACATTTTGGTTAATCAGTTTCGAATTAGGGGCAGAGGAAGAGCCAGAGGAGTCTTTGCTGGAACAAATACTGGTCCCAGCAACTCAAATACTACTTTTCAAAAGAGACCGAAGGAAGAGGAGTGGGATCCTGAATATACCCCAAAAAGCAAGAAATATTTCTTGGTGGGTGTAGAGAATTCTATCTTATGCATGCTTTTGTTTTTTCCGAGTGTGTTTTTATGTCTGGTGTTAAGGAAATTGACAGCTACAAAAGTCGCATGCATGTTGAGAGAGTGACTGCAGTTATGTAATCAAGAAAATACCCGAGTTCTTGCAGTGCCTAGCTTCTCTTGTTTTTCTGTGGCAGGCTGGAAATAACTGAAGCTTAAGGTAGAATTCTTCTCTAAAACGTATTTATCAGTGAGATAGCAAAGAAGGCATGCTCTGGCTAAAAATATGAAAAACAAAAGCAAAAAGGCTGGTGCTGTGTCTTTGTGGATTTATCTCAGTTTGGCATTCAAGCTTTGTTTTTACATTTATCTAGAAACCCACAAAAATGAAAGATCAGGAAAAGCTAACAGTATTTGTGTGGATGGATGTGGACCAACTCTGCTATTAGCAGCCTTTCTGTTCTTACCTGAGTAATGATAGGCATAAGTGATGTTAGTTATGCCTTTTTGCCCCCCATCTGGATTATTAATGGAGGACTATTGATATAACTAACCAGTGAGTAGCTTAGTGTACTGAACATTTAGTCTCTGCTGCAGCTGATGCCAACTCCCAATGTCAATGACAATGTCAGTGTCAGTGACAATGCCAACTTCTAAGGATATCGTTTCACCATTGAAAAACATTAGTTAGTGAAGATAAGAGCTTTTCCTGTAGTATTTTTTTCCCCACAAATATATTGACAGGTAATCCAGTGAATAACACAACTTCAATTTACATGTGTATATAAAGTTTTCTCCCTGTTTCCACCTGCATATAGAGGGATGTGATCAACTGTTCACGAGGAAGTTCTGTGATAGCTAGAAAAAAAATGACTGACTAGAGCTGTTAGTTTTTTCATCTTCAGGAATGTTTGTTTAAAAAAAAAAGCCACCCTGTAAATACTTGAATAATATATAATAGTAAGCTACTTATGTTTATAACAGTTTAGATTTCTTTCCAAATCACAAGTTAAAGTAGATATTGGAACAGGTGTTCATCATTCTTCCAAGTGTAAACACTTTATATTAAATCATTTTCTACTGTGTCCACATATGGAATGTTTGTCAGAAGACATGCCCAATCCTGTATTTAGCACCAACATAGCAAATGTAATGCTGACTAACGAGAGAAACTCTTGTTAATATCAGATTTCAGTAGTTTAAAAATGATTTGCATTACCTTGCACAAGCAAAGCAGGGTTTCTGAAAACCTTCAGTTATCTTTCCTTAAATATAAAGAATTCTCTTTGCCTTATAGTTAAAAAAAATAAAAATAAAAGAAAAGCACATTCCTAGAGTTCCTTCCTTTTAATGTTTTTTCCTTGCTAAAAACTAGTGAGTACTTATTTCTGATGACTGAAAAAATAAGTGACAGATTTGGTTTGTTACAGTGGACATACCCACGGCTAATAATGACTCTTAAATCAGGTTTTTCGAGGTACTTTTAGTTATAGCATTATGAATTGTAGGGATATGTTTCATAATGTAATATACAGATTATCTGAATTGTTTTCAGTTTTTTTCTTCATTGTTTTTTCTGTACATAGTGTAAATTTGCTTCAGAGTACAGCATTTAAGAGGTGTTGTAACCTTATTGTTTGGTATATTATAGCATGATGACAGAGATGATGGTGTGGATTATTGGGCCAAACGAGGAAGGGGCCGTGGTACTTTCCAACGTGGCAGAGGGCGTTTTAACTTCAAAAAGTCAGGTAGCAGTCCGAAGTGGACACATGACAAATACCAAGGGGATGGGATTGTGGAAGATGAAGAAGAAACGATGGAGAACAACGAAGATAAGGACAGACGCAAGGAGGAAAAGGTATGCAGTTTGGTGAAGTGCAAAATATGTGAATTTTCTTACAGAATCTCAGGTGATTGTTGGAGGGGAGGTGGAAGATCACTTGGAAAAATATTTTTAGTGTTTGGTTATTAACTGTTTACAAGAAGACTGTTTTCTTTCTTTCTACAGGAATAACCCTGGACGAAAGCTGAAAGAGCAGCTTTTGCACCACCCACACAACGTTTTTAATATGTTCTTTTTGTTGTCAAATGAATGTAAGCATTTTACTTAAATTTTACTGTTGGAAGTAGTTTAGAAGGATTGTTTTTTCTGTTTTAAGCCTTTAGGAAAAAAAATCTTGATATAGTAAACTATGTTAATGATCGTACAGTTAGAAAGTAAAATATTTGTAACAACTTTTAAGAAATTTTACTGTTTGTTATATGCAGTGTAATTCTGCTTTGTCCAAATACATGGTCAAGTACAACTCTTAAAAGTTTTGATTCTCCCCCTATGTCTGTGTTTTATTCTGAAGTAAACTTCCAGCTCTGCACACCTGAAATCTTGGAGGAGCATTTTTTATCAGCTGATTGCTACTTCTGTGTTGCTTTTTTTATTAAAAATGTTTTTAATGATAGTTATCCAGTTATAATGTGAATACAAAGTCATGTATGAGGTTGATTATACATTAGTTCACAAGAATCACATTTACAGGAGGTCTTGAAATGATAAATTGGTTCTTGATTCTTCTTCTCAAGCTACAGAGAGAAAAACTGAAAGATTGTAGCTGTCACTGTTCTCTAGTAGCCTGAGGAATACATATGTATATGAATTCTTCAGTGAGATTCAAGATTATTTCTCTTTTGGAATGTGAATTTTAGAAACCTGTTTCCAAACCACTGGTGCTAGGAACTCTGAACAGGTCTGAAAACCTGAACGCTCTCTGCCATTTCTGCAGTTGGTAGAAAACTATCTACAGCTGTCTTAATTCTGTAACTTGTGTCCAGAACAGGTTAGTCATGTATTATGGATACCTTGTGATGTCTTCCGTCATCAAAAGACACTTCTCTTGTCAAGGGTAACATGGCACTATGTTTAAGGGTTTTTAAACCTGTTGTTTAAACTCACTGCAAGATAAAGGTGCTGTCTGTTATTAGGGGTGGCATTTTCAGGGCCAAGAAGATTACAGTTTCAGCTTTAAGTCAGTAACTTAATCTTCCACATTTTAGTTAAGAAATTGATGGCAGTATCAATGCTGCATTTATATCAGTCTTGGTTTCAATTTGTTAAATTGCCTCTTTTTTTTATGTGGAATCCCCTCTTCAGGTAAGTGATCTGGCAAGAGTAAGTCTTTAAGTTTTCTATCATCAGCAGCTTTAGGTGAGATCTTGGAGGAAAAATAAACACACACCAACCCAACACATTCCCCTGAAAATACATAAAGCAAGTTACATTAAAATTTGAATCAGTAAAAATACTTGGAATGCACTAAATGATTATATGAAGTATTCTGCTACCATGCCCTGGAAATACATGCTCTTAGTATTCCACTTTATCCAGTATATAAGTCTGAAGTTGTAACTTGATAAAAGCTGTTAGCAGAGGGTGTGAGAAATGAGTTAGTCTTTTACACTGATTTTTCTAAATAGTTGTGCCCTTTCAGTATTGTAGTTAAATTGTAGGGGTCAGTCTACAGTATTAAAAAAAAAAAAAAAGTGCTTTGGTTAAAATGAAAATGTATTTGTATTAAATACATATGCTTTTCTACTAGCTTTGTTAGTAGTTAACTATCTGACCTCTCCATGCTAAATAATAGAAGGCAAAAAAACAGCGTTCTAACTGTATTTGAAAAAAATGGATTTCAGATTGCACTGTACCAGTATCTGTGTAGAAAGGAAATAGGATTAATATTTGCCCTTCAGTGGTAGGTACTAAAGGATAATTTCTGCCTTACATTTAAAGAAGTTTAGGCAGACTACCCTTTTTGCAAAACCTGCTTTTGTATGTACAGTGCATCTTTTAATAACAATTTGAAATGTGAACTGATTATTTTTCTAAGTAAATCTTGCATGTAATTTGTGTATACTGAATTAGAAGCAAGAAAGGGAGCAGAACAATAAACTGGTATACTGACAGTGTCAGAGCCTACCTTAATGGGACTACTACATCTATCCTGAAACTAAGGAGTAGGACCAAACTTTACTGTCATAACCTCAGAACAGTTAGTCTGCATCATCTAGCTCAAGTTGAAGCTAGATTGTTGTGATGACTTGTTGTGTATTTTTTTTTTTAAAGTAGTTCTTGCCTAAGTCTTCTGCTTCATTGAATGTGCAGGGTAATGTAGTACGGATTGCTTTGATAATGGCATGTGATTGTTATGTAGCCTTACCTTTAGACGTATCTGTAGGTTAGGTTATAAAAAATCCTTTTTTTAATTCCACTTAACTTGAGTGTGTTTTTTTAATAAACATAATTACTTAATTACAGAAGAGACAGTGACAGCTGTAGGTTTGAGTGCTTCATTTCATATAATCCAAGATGCAAGTTTCAGTCCTTCAAAGATATGTAAGAAATAGAAACTAAATTGGGCTCAGACTTTTTCTTGATTATAAAATTAAGCATTTACCTTACTGTCTAGTCCTTCTATATATTGAAGAGTGAATTTTCACAGTTGTGTTGGAATTAATAAGGAAAACGTGGTTTGAAGTTCTCAGATCTGCTGAAGTAGTTGTATGACTAGTGAATTGGAAGTATTTAGTGCATTCTATATTTCTCTTGCTGAAAGCTAAAGACTGTCATTGACAGATCCTGGTCAGGAGAAGGAGGGTTCAAGCTTCCTTCCTGTATCAGATGTTCAATTACACTTTGAATTCAGTAATTCATTCTAACTTGTTGCTCTCCAGCAATACAAGAGTTCCTGAATCTCCTTCATCTTTTCATGGTACACAGTTCAGAGGAAATCAAACATTCACTTTTATAGGAAAATAAACTGTAGCAGCTAGTTGCTGGTCTAGACGATATGCACTTGCTCATTTT